AAAGCACTTTTGACGCGGAAGTCGAGAAAATAAAAGTTGTAGTATTTGGGAAAATAAGTGCTTTTTTAAAGCCAAAAGCTGAGAAGTGCTTTTTAAAAGCAGTTGCAAATCAACCCTTAGACGTGGGTCGAATTCAGTAAACCCATCCCAAAACTGTGGTCTGTACCTAGCACATTTGTATCATTTCGGAACAAATAAATAGACCGTAATAAAATAACTATGACCAAACAACGACAAAACTAGACAAGATTATGAAGTAATATTATCAATATCGGTTCTTTGTTTTAATTTCTATTTTCCCTCGTCCCAAAATAATATTTCCTCCGTTCCAAAATAAAATCCTAGTTTTACTTTTGCGATCTTCTGGACGGACGTTTTGCCGTGATTACCTATAAATATATAGAAACAATGACCGGAATAAGACTCATGCGGTTATGAAAGACACAAACACGACCGGTTGTGCGATTGGACATAAATAGAACCGGACTTGAAGCAAAGAGACTAAATTACCCCTCCCCAAACAATTTCCCATTTAGGAAATCTTTTGTCTGCCCTTCGAATCTTCATCGCTCATCTCCACTCCTGCGCAGCCATCTTCCATGGCAATTCCCACCTTTGAATCTCCATCCCTCCTCGACCGCAAGCAGTAGCTCCGAATCTTCAATCGATCTGATTTCTTCGTTTTCTTCTCATTTCTTCTTCGTTCACCACTGCTTCCCTACCTCGACGGTACATCAGCTTCTTCTCCTTCATCAGGGCAACTAAAATCGACCAAAAACAAAGATCGATGGACGGTGTAGCTGCTTCAGACTTCCTCGATGGCCGCCATCACTGCTGGATCCGCCGTCCTCAACAGATCTACGGTTGTACACCGCTGATGGCGGCGGCTAGGGTTACCGTATGTGGCGGAGATGGAGGCTAAGGGTGACGAGCGGAGGCGGTGGTCTGGCATCGAAGGGCTAGTGGTTGTGTGGGAGTATTGGTGTTGGGCGGTTCGAAGAAGCAGGCACTGTTGTTGGGCGGCAATTTACAAGCGGTTTGGAGCGGTGAAGGGGGCTGACAGTGGCTGGATATGGGGCTGGGCGAGGCTAGAGAGGGTTTTTTGGTTGGGGTAGGGGCTGGGGCTAGGGCAACAGGTGAGCAAGGGTGGGGCTTTGGGGGGGGGGGGGGGTTGGGGAGTTGGGGAGGGGGGCTGGGAAGTGGAGGGGATGGCTGTTACCGGACGGGGCAGTGGTCATTGTCCGGTGACGGTGGGCATGGCCGCGGCGGAGGTCACTGTGGCAGTGGAAGAGGTCACTGGCAGGCAACGGAGGTCGCTGTGACCGCGGCGGAGGTCATGTTAACCACGGCGAAGGGCACTGTGGCACGCGTGGAAGTCACTGTTTCCGGCCGCGGAGGTCACTGTGGCCACGGCGGAAGTCACTGTTTTATGACGGTGGTCACCGAGCGTTGGTAACTGTGCCATTGGTCACTTTGGTCACTGTACCAGGTCACTGTAGCAAGCTAGGTGGTCCTGGGTTCATTAAGGGTGTAATGGTCCTATTAGTAAATTTTAGTGTCATTTTTGGAAATTAAAACATAAGTACTCATTTTTGTCCACCGAGAATTTTTAAGTAATATTGTAGTCTTAACTCTTAACCCCAAATATATATCTATAAAATCTATAATAAATTGACATTTAATAATACATATACCATGAAGCACATTAAATAATTCTTTTGAGAGAAAATATTACGACTATCAATTTTGAGTAATTAGCAGTCAAAATTTAACAAGTTTGACCGAAAAAGTCAAATAGAGACTCTAACTAAGGGACGGAGCTAATACTTTTTTTAAAGAAAATAATTTATTAGTGATTGAAATGCTTTCTTCTCCTAACACAATCTATTTTCTTAAACATCTTTAACTCGAGAATAAAATTTTAGAATAACTTGTTAAAGTACAACTAATGTCTAACTCCCACGTTGCCAGATGATGATGTTTGTAAACATTTCATATCATAAGTTTAAACTAATTGATCTGAGATTTCTTACTTTTATAATATTTGAATTCGATGACATAACATGCATGTTTGATCAATGATCATGTTAATATTTTACCAAAAAAATGATCATATTAATAATTGATTGAGAAAGCATATCGATTTATTTTAATCTCTTTAGTGTGATCAGCTTGTTTCTAAAATATTTAAAGTCACTTAATACAATCTTCATTACACATTTGACTAGTACCAAACTACCAAACATACAAATTAAGCATTTCAAGCGGGTAAAAAGGTTTGCTTAAAAAACGGGTAAAAACTAAAAAGGCTATTTGACCCTTTTAGCCTTGTTTTAGTTTCTTACCGGTGTCAAATTCTTTTGTATCATGGTCATACGGAGCAATAAAAAGGCGGCTTTGCAGCCGGAAATTTCATGGAGTTATACATGACTCCATTATCAGTCCGTATACGGTGCCGCCGGTGCATGGTGAACACTCTACTCCCAGGATAAAATTCGCGTGAACAGTATCCTACCATTTGTTTCAATTTTTTTCATGATGTAAATCCTTTGTTTTTGTATATAACTCGCGCTATTGTTAAATGTAAATACAGTGTATTCAAATGTTACTCATTGTGGTGTAACTCGCATTATGAAGAATGTAAATAATGTGTAAGCAAGATGTAACTTGCAGGGGAAATTCACATATAACTTGTCCTTCAGAAGATGTAACTTGCGTTTCAAAATATGTAACTCACGCTTCTAAAAATGTAACTCGCTTATAAAAAGATGGAATTTCAAATATTAAACAACACATATACATACATACATATAACAATTAATTCCATCGATTGACATCAATAGAATAAATAAAATTATGTTAATTGAATTTGATTATTAAGCACTTTAGATGTTTCATCAAAGCAAAAGATATGTGTTAATTGGAATTTACTTTTCATTTTTGAAAAAAGTTCGAGGATTAGCTATGCCAACAAGGTGGTGCAAATTCAATCGGTGCTGCAAATTCAATCAGTCTCAGCAAAGTTGAAGAGTTTCTGCAAGTTGAAGAGCTCCAGTCGGCAGTCGGTGCTGCACTACTGCGGCGCATCACGAGTCTGTTTTTTTTATGGGTTAAACTTGTATTTAATGGATAAAACGGTGCCGTATTTGGACCAGACATACCATGACTCCATGAGCATGGTATGCTGGTCGTACGGTATAATTTGCCCTCCATTATAGAGTTAGATACCCCATGTGACAAGATGATGTGGTTTAATGATAGGTCCCATCCACCAAAAAATCAAAATAATACTCCATATTTAGAGATTAGTCATATGTACACATCCATTGAAGCTGAGGCAAATAGACGCCGGATCTGCGTCGAAGGAAATAGGCGCCGTATCTGCAACGAGAGACGAACAGGTATCCAGATTTTTACTTTAATCATATTCGTATTAGACGTTACAGACCAAGAAGAAGAAATCCCCTTTCTGAGTTTTTTGTATTTAAACATCTTACTCCCTAATAAGGTGTTTGCGGAACGTTCGGAGGAGATGGTTGTTTTCCCATTTTTGAAGTTTCATGCTTTTACTCTGTAAGGCTAATCGCAACCCAACTCCGTCAATAAATCAAATTTCTCATCAGTTTATACGTATTCATTCAGTCAATTCAGTTTTTACTGCAATCCAGCACCATCAATATATTCACCAAGCAACGTTGTTCTTAATTAAAATCTTCCTTTAATTATTATACGTCATTTTTTGTCAAATATGTTTTGCTGAATAATTATAATCTTAAAAGTCAAACATTCCGATATAAAAATAAATAAATTTGGATTCTAATTTTGTTGTTGTTAATTTAGAATTATTTTTGAAAGAAATAATTGAAAGATGTAAAAAAAGTATTTTAATCATAAGATCTTAATTTTACCACTTAAATTTATTTAATATAAATTCTGAACATAAAAAATCTCCAGAAAAAAAAACTTATTTATTTTTTAATTTATATATATATAATATTGGTGTCATATGAAAGGTCATAAAAAAAAGAATTTTGGTATATGTTTTATAAAAATTGAAGTATGAATAAAAAACTTATAACAAATTAAAGAAAATTGGGATTTTTTAATATTCTTGGCCCCACACACTTTTGAATTGTCATGTACGGATAAGACATTGCTGCGGCTGCTTTTCTCTCCGTCAATAAGTCTCCAAATACCCACTGACGTGGTGCTAGGTACTCACTTTCCAACCCACAAATACATGGATTGTAGAGTAATTGAGGGTGAAAATCTTAAATTTGGTTTTTCACCCTCCCGTTTGCAACCAGGCTAACGGTTGTAGCTATTCATTCTACAGGCTAGATGACCTTTAATTTTTAAAAAGTGATATTTGTTTTAATTTGCCCTTTTTGAGATTTTCAGGAGCATTTGGATATAAAAAAATGCCATTGTTGCATAAATAATATGATTACTAATAATCCTGGAAATTTTGTCTGAACTATTTGTATACCACATATTCCATTTAAACTTTTGGTAAATAAAGTAAATGAAATATGTCACCTATTATTTAAGTGTGTACAGTGTGCACTTTAACGATGATATTAAAGAACTATCTCAATCTGACCATGCTCCTCCCAATTAATAATGTTTGTATCTATGACAAATAAACAACTTGTAGAAGCAAAAATGCAGTAGTTATATTTAAGAGAAGTTGTTATTATCAAGTCTTATTTTAGACTACTATTATACCTATTTGTAATTTGTAATTGCATAAAAGTATCTTGCTGCATACAGATAGTTGTCATGGAACCGTATGAACCACAGTCTTGCAACAAATATAGAGTTTATAATTGCAAATCCCCATTTCATTTACCTTGAATGTTTAAATGCTATGCCACAGATAATAACTCAAGTTTTAATTGATGGGAAATTTAACAATTAAAATTTCTAACCAGAAAGCAATTGTGAATTTATACCCTCGTCGTAGTAAAACAGGTGTCTGAATTTACTGGAGCTTCATCTCCTCCAACACTTGTTGTTCTATTATCTCCATCCATTTCACTTATCTCCATTTACTTTTTCAGGATTTCTTTGCTATATAAATCTTTCATCCACTTATCATCGCCGGATTTTATCTCCTCCTCTCGCAGGTTACTTTTTATCGGCCGACTTCGGACTCCTTGTATTTGGCTCCCTCCTCAACGGGTTGAACTGCACTTTGGATCGCCGGACTCTGCCTTGCGAATCACCTAGTTACTTTCCGGCTTTGCAGCCACCGAGTAACGCCGGCAGCTTTCCGATGGAAAATCAGCTCCTCACTGAGTTTGAAAACGCGGCGGCTAACATACCGGATTCACCTCTCCCTCTCCGGGCCATAAACTTTGTTCTGTCTCTCGTCAGCAACCCTTCCACCACCGATTCTTCTCTGGCCGCTATTCTCAAAACCCTAACCCAATCTCTCCAAAATCCTAACCACCGCCACTCTCACCACCGCGCTATCCTCTCCATCCTTCATCTCCTCGCTCGCCGCCACCCCCACCGAAGAAAAGACGTCATCAACTCCATCCAATCATTCTCACTCCTTCCTTCTACCTCCACTCGCTCCTATGCCGAGGCCCTCTCTGCTCTCCTCTCCCTATCTGCTACTGACGCCTTCAACGAACCAGAGTTCCTGTCGCTGGTTTTCCGGCCATGTGTATCTGTCAGGATTTGGCTCTTGCGGAATGCTAACAGCTTTGCTATGCGGCCATCAGTGTTGTTTACAGTTCTGTTTGGGTTGACCAAGGACCCGTATCCGAACATGCGTAGCGCTGCATTGGATGGACTATCTGGATTATGTAAATGCATTGTGGTTGAAGATAAGAGTCTTATTCAAGGTTGTTATTTTCGTGCTGTTGAGCTACTATTTGACACTGAGGACACTGTGCGATGCTCTGCAATTTGTGCGGTATGATCTCCTACAACTGGACTGACTTTGCTTCAGTAGTGACTCTACTTGATGAGTCTTGGTCGTGTAGAATTGAAGCTAAATGCTTAATGGTGCTGCTTTCTGAGTTTAGTTATTGATATTCTCTTGTTTTGTTTTTGGTAATTACTCCGTACTAATTAGGAATCGCCACCAGTAGTCTAGTATTGGATACCAAGCGCCTCCTGTTAGTTTTACCCACTGCAAAATTTCTATGTGAGTCTGAAAAGTTACTGTCTGGAATCATGTTTATTTATTCCCACCGTTGATATTTGGTAGTGAAGGGCATCAAGTGTGCGAAAATCTTTTTGAATTTTGACATTGCTAGTTTGTGTGTCTTTCCCGATTAGCAAATCTTCATATGTAAATTACTACGAATAATCTAACAATTTATGAGATAGTCATTGAACATTTTCTTTGTTTAGAACCTGAGATTGAGTGCCTCTTCTATGCCTAATCACACTTGTGCATTTTTTTCCTTTTGGTTTGGAATCTCAAAAATAAATATTAGAAAGTTTTTGTTTTATTTTATTTTCTGCATGGGCATACAAGCCATTAGTCCTGCTTGTTTTACCTTTTCTTTAATTCCAGGTTAGTGAATGTGGGCATTCGCTTGTGGCTGCCAACCATGAGAAAAGTAGAAGTGACTGGTCAGACACATTATTTGTACAGGTGGCCTATTCACTATGCTTTATATTGTTCTTTTTGAACTGCTGATATATAAATTTAGTGATTGTCATTTAGGGCACTACACCCCTTACCCCTGGGATTTATTTAATCTCACTATCTATTTTCTCTGCCACATGTTGAATCATAACCAAAATGGTCATGGTAAGTGAAAAAAGTATTTTTGTCTTCTGAAGTTATTATGGATTTATGGTGCATGATTTGTTTTTAGCTTTGCTCAATGGTCAGAGACATGAGTGTCAAGGTTAGAATACAAGCATTTAATTCTCTTGGGAATGTTGAATTGGTCTCCAAAGATCTTCTCTTACTGACCCTATCAAAGAAAGCTTCACCAGCCATGAAAGAAAAGAACTTTCCTGGACAGTTCACTACCAAATCCTCTAAGCTACCAGCATCAAGTGCTGCTTTTGCTTTTGTGAATGGCTTGGAGGACGAATTCTATGAGGTACAACTTATCCATGAATAGGTTATAATATCTGTCTCTGACTCTGGAAAAGGTCGGCTGTATACTGTCATGTTTTGGGTTCATATGCATGCAGATTACTCCCTCCGGTCTTGTATAACTGGCCATTCAGAAAAGACATTTGTGAACAAAACCACAAACAACATTCCATTTAGAAAACCATTTAAATAAAAGTAAAATGACCATGTTACCCCATCATATACTTGACCTTTGTTTGTTACTATTAATACCTAAAGTAATTAACACCTAAAGTAATTCAGATGTTGCTGTTAATTTAGTATAAAATGAATCATCATCATCATCATCACCCCAGTGCCGCAAAGGCTCCCAAAGAGGCTGTTTCCGGATGACCCATAGTGAAAATCGCGTCGAAATTTACATGGACTGACTGCTACTTCATAACAAAGAAGGGCAGACAGTTTACTGAGCCATTTTGCTTTATTCCATCATATTTCAAGCCAAAAAATAGTGAGTTTTTGGCTCCATTGCAAATGATGGAAATTATAAAATGAATGATCACTTAAAAAAATAATTCTACGGTTCTACCTCAGTGGACAGTTATTTTAAAAAGGTGGGAGTATGTGCGATCTACAAGTCCATATATTTTTGTTCCCTTTCTATAAATTTCAGTGAGACTTGTGTCACTGTTAATTTTTTCATCCATTTTCATTTGAAGGTACGAAGTTCAGCCTGTCGTGCCTTACAGAGATTGACCATTCTCTCTGCTGATTTTGCGGGCGAAGCTATAGACCTTTTGGTGGATGTTCTTAATGATGATTCAC